GTTGAGAAAGGAAAGTAGCTGTGATATGAAAGATTTGAGGAGGTTAGAAGCCTAGAAGGAAATGGAGTAGGACTAGATTATTGAGAGATAAACACAGTAGCGGGGGCACGGGGCACACGTCAGACTCCAATCCACACCGACGTCACTATGGTGGCACTCGGCGCACAGTCACCCCCGCTTATGGTTCCACAGCCAATATTAAACTGCACCTGTCATCGTTAAGGGTGTGAGGGCAGGTGTTGTCACATGACCCCTGGAGGGGCTCCACCCACAACTGGGGGCGCTGAGAGCTGTTCAGCCATGTCAGTCCCGGGGGACCCTGTGCAGTTGGTGGAAGCAGAGACAGTGGCACACTTCCTTGAAGATGCCTCTCAGGGGACGTGACAGGGACGCCTGCTGAACCTGAGGACAGGGCCCGAGTGAGGAGCCCAGTGCGCTGGGGGTCGTGGGGACAGGGGGCGGGACAGGCTTGCTGCACGGCTCCCCAGCCTCACATGGAAGGACCCCCAGCCCAGCCTTGTTCCCAGGAACCAGCCAAGGCCCAGCGTGGGGAGATGTCCTGGCAAGGGGTCTGGCAGACAGGCCAGACAGACTCCCCTCAAGGGAGGGCTGCGGCTACAGGCAGTGGGGACAAGTGCTGGCCAGCCCGGCCACCTGGCTGGGCCACATGAGCAGACAGCAGCCAGTCTGGGCCCAGCAGACTGCCTACAGAGCCCCACGCAATTTTTCACCCCATATTTTTCCAATAAAAAAGCATTTAGACACTAACCGCAGCCTTGCGGAGGGGCCTTCTGGCAGCACAGGCTGTTTTCCCCGCCAGCAGCCGAGCCCCAGAGCAGGGCTGGGGGGAGAGGGGCAGGGGCGCCCATAGGCACGGTCTGGTCCATCAGGAGGGCAGGGCGGGCACTCACAGGGGAGACGGTGTTGGGGTTTTCCTGTCTGTCTGCACGCCAGCCTCCGGGGCTGCTGCTGGCTAGAGAGGTGCCTCGACGGCCTCTGTCCGTCTGTCTGTCTCAGAGGTGGGATGTCCCCAGTGTCTGCACCTTGAGCCAAAGGCAGAGCCCAAGGCCAGTAGGCAAGGGCTGGGTGGGCTGGCAGGGGCCCAGGGTAGCAGAGGGAGGGGCGTCTGGCCTCAGACCCTGATGGGGTTTGGGAGAAGCCAATGGGCCAGAGCGGAGCCGGCTCTTCCTGCTGCCCTGTCCAGGCCCCCCCGAGGTGCTGCCCGCCTGCCATGCTGTCCCCACACCAGCATGTGTTGAGTCGGCGTCAAGCTCTCCTGCCCAACCAGCATGTCTAGCTGCCCCTCATCCCTGGACCTGTCCCGCCAGAGTGGCCCAGGCGCCTCTGACCAGCTATTTCCAGTCCACTGTGCGTCACAGAATGTGACGGGCCAAGCCTGTCCCCACTCTGTATAGAGCATGAGTTCCCAAGGGCTGAAGGAGAATCGGGAGGCGTCCCGTGGGTGCCAGGAGCTGCCAGGCTGCAGGTGGCTGCTGCTGTCCTCCCACGTCCCTGCAGCCACAGTCAGGACTTTGGCGTCCTGCAAATACTGGGTCCTCTTGGCCTCCCTCTCCCGACCGCCCCTCCAGGGACGAGTGATGGCCTCACCTGGCTGTGCACCACACACAGGAAGCCAGGGTGCCACTCAGGGCCCTTCTCTCTGCTCCCAGAGGGAGTCCCACCCTCGGGCAGGTAGGCCTGACTGGGGTGGGGGAGGGGAGGAAGGCTAGTGACCTTCCGAGGTCCCCAGTGAGCGTACACTGGGCCTTCTGACCTGAGAAAGTTACTCATCGCCCAGAAACCAGCTCGGGGGAAGGAAGACAGAGGAACTCGGGTCTCTCTTGCTACTTGCTCCCCCAAACTCGGAACCGAATGGCTTTGGGTAACAGGGCACCCCTTGCCATGTTGGACCATGGGTGAGACTCATGATACAGTGTCCCCATGCAACCAGCAGGGCTGAGGTCGTGTGGCAGGGACCTCCTGGGATGGTGGTGCCCCAACGCACTTGGAACAAACCTGAACTTCTTTCTGTGACTGACGAAGTGGGGTCCCTCTGGGCTTCATCCTCTCTCTCCCTCCCTCCCTATGCTGCAGCCCCCCTGCCTCACGGTGCAGGAATCATCTGTCTGTCTGATCAATGGTGCAGGGAAAATGGAATGCAGATGAGATGGCTGGTGCTACAGCTGTCTCCACGGACCAAGAAGTGACTGAGGATGGAAGCCATATGCCAAGGATTGCCAACCAGAAAGACAGAGGAGCTTGGCGACCAAGGACAGGCCATGCCAGCCTGGAGGGCCCACATCTGGGCTTTTGAGTGAGAAATATGGACCTTTCTTAGGCCACCGTTGATTCCAGTCCTGCCACAGCAGCACACGCAGCCCCTCTAAGCGGGGCCGTGTGGTGGACGGTTGGTAGCTGCACCTTAGAAGGCAGGGTGGAGAGTTGGGAGTTTATCGTGGGGACAACAGGGTCTCCGCATCCTTCTGGAGCCAGGGGCTGTCGCTCGCTGGGCCAGGGCGAATCGGCCAGGGCGAATCGCCTGTGCAGGCCACTCAGGGCACCCCACTGTGGCCATGGGCGGGGCCAATGCACAGCTGTGGGGAGGCTGGACTCCACCCTCAGCCAGCATCCACCCTTCCTCCCCAGGGCCCAAAGCCACTAAAGCCCCGAAAGAAGCCCCAAGGGAAGTTGGACCAAGGGGCCGACCCTGGTCTGATAGAGGGGTCAGCCCAACACAGACCCCAACCAGACCCTCTGGGCAGAGGGCTCTCGAACACGGAACCGGCCTTCCTGCAAACCCACAAAAAGGAACTGCCAGAAACACAAGAGCCACCAGTTCCAGACCCACCCAGACCCGTCCAGAGCAAGCTCCCCATTGTCCCTTGGCCAGGCTGGGCTGGGCAGGCCCTCGGATACCACTCCGGCCTGGCCCGAGGGCTCTCGGATGGACGTGAACGCAGAGGAGGCCAAAGCCACAGCTACCCACTAGCCCTTGGTCACGGCCTGCGGGTCCTGGGCCAGGGTGTGACGGCCACATGCAGAAGTGACCTCTGTCTTGGTGCGTGTAGTCAGAGCTGCTATGAGGGCCAGACCCAGGGGTGGAGGGAGAAATTCTCCAGGACCAGCCCTGACCAAGTGGGCAGCAGCTGTTTCTTCTATAGAACACAGACTGATGGGCCCCCGGACGGGAGCAGCCAGCAGCCTCAGGGCCTCAGAAACCCCCTCCCCACGCTCCTCAGAGCAGCCCTGGCTTCAGAGAGCATTTCCTGCAAATCGATTTTAAATGAAAGGAGGTGCCGAAGGTGACCAGCTAGCTCAGCACTTTCCCAGGTGCCCGAATCTAATTCATTAAAGACGCAGAAGACAGTCCGCGGAGACACACCTGTCCCAGCACCCAAGGCAGCTGTGGGCGGTGGGGGCCCACACAGACACCTCAGGGGGCCGGCCACGTCCCTCAGTCCCCGAGGCTCCATTCACCCACAGGACGGTGAGGGGATGGCACAAGGGCCTGCAGACATGCTGGTCACTTCCCGGCTGCCCTGCCCTCTGGCCACTTTTGTCAGACGGTCCAGACCACAACGACCCCACTCAGGGCTTCTGGGCAAACTCGCCTTGGAGCGAGTCCTGGGGCATCTCAGACCTCACCTGTCGAAGCCCGCTCCTCCACCCCCCTCCCAGGCCCCTGGAATAAAACGCTGGCTCTCAGCGGCTCACCACCCCCACGGCTGGTCACCTGGACCTCCAGGTGTCCCCCGCAGGACTGTCCTGACCCTTGCGCTCCCTACCGGTCGGCCTTCCAGCCCTTTCCACACGTGTTCACATTCTTATCCACTGAGTGCCCGCCGGAGGGACCACCCACCTGTCTGCCCACAGCTGGGGCCGTCCTGCGGGGCACACACCAGGTACATGGGGACCTAGAGCCATACACCCAGGCCTCCAAAGAAAACTGACTCCATTTCACAAAAACTTGCCTAAAAATCAGTCTGTGTCCGGCTGGCTTTTCTGTCGGCCTCTCGCAGAGCGCCCTCACCCCGATGACCTGGTTCTCCTTAGAGCCCAGCCCCCGCAGAGGCCCCTACGAGGATGAGGGTCCCAGCCCTGCCGGCCATCTCCCACCAGCCTCGCCACCTAAGACTCTTTCAGGTGGGACATTCGCTGGGTCGCCAAAGACCATGCCCCCAGCCCTCCCTGGTCCCGGCCGTGTGGCCTCGTCTGGTTCCTTACGCTCCTGGTCTCTGCATCTGCATCAGGGCTTTGGGACAAGCCGAGCAGTGAGCACCAGGCCCCTGAGCCCGGGGGTCTCATTCCTGCTGCAGCCTCTCAAGGTCCCACGTGGCACCCCCACCCTACTGTACCCCGCAGCGCACAGCTCAGCGCACAGCAGCCGCCCCACAAATGGCCGCTGAGATTCCAGCCCTGCGTGGCCTCTCCCCAACACAGATGACCAATGACCGGGACCAAGGCCCCCAGCCCGAGGCCAAGGCTGCGGGGCTACTCCGTGGCTGTGGGTGGGGTCAGGATTATTCCTGCGCTAACACTCCAGCTGCGGAAATCCCAATTAGTGGCACCCTAATTGTCCCTGAAAAACGAGGGTAATTGCGAGGCACAAACGCGCTGCTGCTATTATTAGCAGAAGTCTGTTTCTGGAGATGTTTACGTGTTTATGGCCCCAGCCTGGGAACACTGGGGGCTGAGCTCAGCCCAACAGAGTCTGCCCCCTGCCCACAGCACCCCCATCCCAGGGAGCCCTGCACAGGGACGGCCGCTGACGGGGCAGGAGCGGGGCCTTGCCCCACAGTCCTGGGAGCCTGGGCAGCATCCCACCACAGATATCTCTTGCACCTGGTCCCCAGACAGGTGAGGCTGAGGCCCCTACACCTGGGGAGACCACGTGTCCTCTGCACCCCCCACAGGAGAACCATGACCTCTCTGCCAGGTCTCCAGGACACACCCTGCTGGGGTGAGGGTCAGCGGGCGGGGGAGGGTTAAGAGGGGCTTACCTTGTCGTCCCCGTCACTCTCACTGTCGCACTGTGGGGGGAGAGAGAGAGAGGGTGAGTCAGCGCCCCACAGCACCCAGCACGGCACCCAGGACACTGGCTGCAGAGCAGGCACCAGAGCGGTGGGAAGGCAGAGGGACAGCAGGAGGCTCTGGCAGCCCCATACCCTGACGGGGGGCCCCAGGCGGCAGGAGCACCCCAGGTCAGAGCTCCATCACAGCTCTGGGGTGTCTGTGGGCCAGCAAGACAGAGGTGAGACAAAGGAGCAGGCCGTGTGAGGTGCACCCACCCCAGAGCAGACACGGGGCCACACTGTGTCCTGCAGCCCCATGCCCGAGCCTGCGGAGCCCAGCCTCGGGTGGCAGGGAGGGCCAGGGGCGGCGGGCAGCTGGACTCCTGGGGAAAACGCGTGCCAGCAGCGAGGACATCTGGGCTGCCCACCCCCTCGCCCCCAAGATGCCCCAGTAGAAGCTACTCGAAGTGTTAGTTCGGCCGGTTAAGGGAAGATTGTGACGATTGCCCAAACCTTTCGTTTCATTTTCAGTAAGCAGAGCTTTAAAAAGAGAAACTGGTTTAGAAACCATGGCAATTTCCCCCTAAAAAACTATGAAGAAATGCCTTCCCAGCGACTGCAATTATGACACGTTCGCGTCAAGTGAGTTCTGTTGCTGAAGACACATGTCTGGGGTACACACATGCTGGGCCCTGCCACGTGTGCGGTGCAGTTCCTGTGCTGGCCTGCACTGGATTAACCCAGGCCATCAGGCACTGTCACACATGGCAGAGGGACACGTGGGCCCAGTCCCACAGCCATGATGAGAGGCCAGATCAGCCCCTCGTCTCAGCTCTGGTGGAGTGGGGTGGCTGAAAGTGGGGGTGGGGAACACAGCAGGAAGGTGAAAGGAGGGGCATGGGAGACGAGGCTGGGGAGCCAAGCGGGCCCCAACACACTGGGACAGGGACAGTCAGGGTGGTGGCTGGCACTTCAGGATGGTCCTGTGCCAGGAGAGAGGGGTGGGGACAGGTCGTGGCCTGTGGGATGTCAGGAACCCGACTGGGTGCACGCGCCTGGCACAGACAGCAGAACTCCTGGTGGAGCTGCCACAGACCCCAATCAGGCCTCTTCCCGCTTACTTAGTGGCTCCAAGCCCTGGGGCGGGGACCTGCACCCCCGTCAAACGGGCACGGGGTCATCCTCGGGTGCACACACCGTCACTCGGGGCACCCAGAACCGCCCCAGGCCCAGGCTCCGATTTCTCCCCAAGGCTCCTGGGCTTCAGTGTCACTGGTGAGAGCTTAATGATCCGACATCAAGGAGGGGTGAGGGGCTCTCCAGGGAGCGCAAGGATCCTATAACTAACCAAAGAGCACACCGTTGTCAGCCAGCACAGGCCGTGTTGCAAATGAATTCACGTTATTAAGTCCTGCTGAATTAATGTTTCACTGCCATAGAGTCGGAATTGAATGAGGCAATTCATCAGGGCAAGGAGGGAAAGGGGGCCGCATCTGTCTCGCAGGAGCTGCCTGCAAGAGACGACCTTCATGGGTCAGGCTGGGCTGGGCGGCCCTGAGGAGTGTCACTCGTGTGTGTGTGTGTGTGTGTGTGTGTGTGTGTGTGTGTGTGTGTGCGGGGTTCCACGTGGGAAGCCCACAGAGGAGAGGGCAGACCCCAGGTCCCAAGGGGATGTGCTGGATACGGCGGGGAGGCCAAGTCCTGGGCTCCGGTGCGAATGCCTGCTCTGAATCTGGGCCGCCACCTACACGCTGTGCAGCCTTGGGCAAGTCCCTTGACCTTTTTGTGCCGCCGTTTATGCTTCTGCAAACCAAAGACAATAGCCTATCTGCAGGATTGCTGCGCAGTTTACCTGAGTAAATACATGGAAAGACTAGGATAGTGCTGCGTATGTTCTCAGCATGATGGTACACCATCACCACCATCACCACCATCGCCACCATCACCATCATCATCATCACCACCACCACCAATATTATCATCTTCAATTAAGCCAAGAACAAGGGGTTTCCCTCTGGAGTGGCTGAATGCCCACGCCTGGGAGTTTTAGGGAGGTACCTCTCCACCTCACTCGTGCTCCTGACAGCTGAGGCTGGAGAAGCGACGCCTCCTCTGCACAGACGAGACCCTGACATCGGCCCTTCCCTGCTCTGCTTTCCCTGAACTCCAACCCCACCAGCATGAGGCACACCCCTCTACTGGCCTGCGGGTGCCCCCTGGCCTGGCCTCGCAGGCACGGTGACTCACAAGGACCACTCGTCCAGGGCCACCGTCTTTGCCGGTCCTTTAGTCAGACCACAGGGTCACAGTCCTGGCTGTGAGTCAGCATCACCTGAGGGACCGCAACCTGCATGCCTGGGGCCAGGTGCCTCCTGAGTGGCTGGGGCGAGGCACTGAACTACCCCAGCAGGCTCAGCTCCGCCCTCTTGCTCAGGGGCCATGTTGGGCACGTACTCCTATGTCCTGTGGGGGCTGGAACGAGGCACCCCACTGGGCACTCAAGACCACTCAGTGATAGGTCAGAGGCAAAGGTGACTCAGGGCTCCATCCCCCAAAGCCCCAAAACTCAGCTCCTCCATGCCCAGAGGTCCCCACGTGTCACCCATGTTAACAGATGTGACATGATGTGGGACTCATGGAACCTCCCAGGCTCAATTGATGGCCTTCCCAGATCCCCAGCCATGGGTGAGCAACAGCCTTGAGGTGTGGCCTAGGAGCCATAAGCTGGATGGGGCTGCAGACAGGCTTGGTTTGGTCTTTTTCTTTCAATTTGTGCCAGCCTTTCAAAATCCGCAGGTTTCTCACGGTCACCCAGTCCTGCATCTTACCAGAACAGGGAGCCCCATGTACAGCGCTGGGCAGCACTCCCGTGGGCTCAGGGGCACCCATCCCTGTCTCTCCCGACACTCCCAGGCCAGAGTGCTCGTCCTTGTCACATGCGGGGGACAGAAGCACATGGAGGGGCTTTGGAGCCAGATCACGGGGTTCCATCCTGCCTCCTCTACTTACAGCCTCAGCTGCTCACTTCACCGGTCTGAGACTCAGCTTCCCCATCTGCAGAGACGGGGGGCGGTGTCCCCTCGGTGGGCTTGGGAGTTAAATGAGTCCATATATGAAGAGCACTCAGAATAGCTGGCGGAGTCACGGTTCCATAAATGTGAGCAACTGTCATCATCATTGTCACCTTCATCACCACCATCATCACTATCACTACCATGAACTTCACCATCACCACCTTCAATGTCAAGGTCGTCATCATTGCCATTATCTCTATTGTCACAATCATCATTGTCACCTTCACCATCCACCTGACCACAGGGCCTGGGCACAGATACCTCTCCCCCAACAGTGCCCTGCCCACCCAGGAGGTCTGAGCTTGGCCCCTGCCCCAGGCCTCTTCCAGGAACCTGGCCTCTCGTGTGGGGAGGGGGTTGCTCATCGCCGTCCATGATGGGAGACGCCCATCAGCACAGTCATTCAGCAGCAGCAGAAACGGGCCTCCTATTCCCTCCGTGTGAACGTTAATTACGGCTTCACAGCAGAGCTCAGAGGATGGCCGCCTGTCTCCCATTCCTCAAACAAAGGCATGAAAAATTCATGAGCTGGGAGACTTGGCCGCTGGGCCCACTGCTCATCAGATGGCCCAGAGATGCCCGTGGTGGGTAAGGGCAGGGCAGGGCAGGGGGAGTCCCTCCTGCCCCCTGGGCCTGCACTCAGCAATGGACATGAAGGGGCCGAGAGGCTGTCCCGGGGATGACTGGGCCCTGCCCTACAGGAAGGCACTGAAACCACCCAGCTCTGCCTCTGTCTCTCCCCAGCTTCCCACTCGGGTGACCCTGCCTCATTTCAGTGGCGGCACACAGCTGGACTGCTCCTCGCCAGCCTGGGACTCGCTCCCAATGGGCACTGTCACCTGCAAAGGCCTCAGCAGCTGGGAACCAATAACACCAGCAGGACCCCTGGCCCGTATGTGCATGGAAAGTGACAGAACATTCTGCTCAGCCCACCTGAGTGTGGGGGCAGGAAGGTGTGAGCTGCCGGAGGTCAGTGTTGATGCCGACGCTGGGCCGCACCCAAGTGGCCTGAGGTGTGCCCACAAGCTTCCCGTGGGCCTGGGGACACCTGGGAATTCCAAGCGCACAGGTCCTCGGTGTGAGCAGCGTTCGCTGGGCGTTTTCTCATGGCTCACATGTGCTCTGTGCACGCATGAGCCCGCTGGCCTGCCATGTGCGTGCATGTCCTGAGACACGCTGAGGCGTGCAGAGGCCTCTCCCACATGAGCACTGGGGCACCCTGCCCAATGGGTGCTCTACCCTGGCATGCCCGGTGTCCCAGTGTATGCCCGTGGCACCTGTGCACTCAGGTGACCTGCCACAGGGCCTCGTATCCCCGCGTAGGCGTGCTGATCGCACCCTCCTGTGGACCCGCAGTGGGTCTGAGCACCCTCCTTGGAGCTGCCCTGGAAGGAGATGGGGGTGAGCCCGCCGGAGCCCCCTGCTCCATCCACAAGGACGCGAGCTATTGCCTTTCTTTCTACTAAGCCTCCATTGGGAGGTAGAACACGGGCAGCCGGGGCCCAGGAGCTCTGGGAGAGTCATTAAAAGGCCGTTTTCATCCAGGATCTGGGCTCTGCCAAGTGGCAGCCCTGGGACTGCAGGGGTGGCAGGAGTGGGGGCGGAAGAGGGGAGCCCCCTAACATCCTACTGGCAAGGGACTCCATGGGGATGGGGCTCACGCTGCCTCTGTTCACGCAGGTGGTTTCTGCATGCTTCCCTCCGTCCCCACCACAGACCCACCTGCTTACGAATGGGGAAACTGAGGCAGAGTGGTTGGGAGCCCACCCAGGACTTAACCCGGCCCATGTGGTCATGCCACATGCCAGCAACTCCTTCATGGAGGCTGAGACTGGACGAAAGCCCCAGTACTGGCCCCCCAAATGGGCTGTGGCCCAGGAAGTCACAGTCAAGCCTGATTAATTATTCACGCATCGGACGTGGGATCCTGAAAACCCCATTCTT